ACCTGATAACTTATGTACCTCGGTCCTGGTAACTTTGGCATGTGGGGGGGGGGAGGGGTTGATGAAATATCCCCTCAATAACTTTTTATGTGAATAGCATGGTATCTCACCTATCGCAGACCATGATAATTTATACCCCGGTAATATCTGTAAACAACATGGTAACATATGTAGCTCAGGCGTGATATCTTACTTAGCCCAGAAGTAGTAACTTTTGATCCGAAATAAAAGTTATCTGAACAAATCAACGTAGTATCTAGTTTTGATGCTTTCTTTGAGAATCTTTTCGATCGGACCAACGGTTTGAACTACAAAATATTTGAGTTTCGAAATAAAGGGGAATCAAGGATGACATCAACTTTTGGGTATTCTAATTCATTTGCATGTGGGGAGAATTGGAGGACCACTTTTATGCCCCGGTAATTTCTATATAAATAAGATGGTAACTTACGTATCATAGACGTGATAACTTACTTAGCCTGGGCCTGATAACTTTTGACCCTGAAAAAAAGTCGTCAAAACATACCAACATGGGATCTAGATTCGAAGATCTCGTCGCGACGAATCTTTTATGTGAAAACAGTTTTTCAATCAGAGCTATGGTTTGTGCTACAAAATATTTTAAAATTTGAATTTCAAAGAAATCTTTGATGACATCAGCAGTTTTGTTTTTATATGCATGCATATTTAACTATGCAGCTGCAAGCTACGCACGCATGCAAAGTTATCATCGCTCATCCAGCATGCATGCGTGCGGCGATCGTCCGTGCCTATAGCTAAAATCCTGCCGTCCGGTCATTAGCACAGTCCAAAAACTACTAATAGTCGTTTTTCTATAAACGCAGAATATGAGGATTCCGAGAACCAAGTTTTATATATCCACGGGTTTGTTAGAGCACCCAAACAAGATTATATTCTGTTAGGAAGTTTTGCAGGTTTATAGAGATCTGGTTTTTCATATACCACGTACACCCATTTTGTTCGTCTGCGTCCGTTTGGGTCGGCGCAGACAAAAGTGGCGTCCCAACGCGCCGACCCAAACCCAAATCACGTCCGCATCGTGTCCACGCCGACGCATTTGCGGCCCAAATTTGCGCCCCAAATGCGTCGGCGCGGAAGCCGAACGGACGCTTCGCACGCCTTCTTGCTGTCCGACGCGTCCCCACATGGCGGCCGTCCAACTACCTGCTACCCTCGCGGTCAGCTTAATTTATGACGACGGGCCCATGCGTCAGCGATGGCGCTCGTCCTTTTTTAAGCCGACCGTGCGGCGGGGCCGTCCTCATCCAAACTCGCCGTCCCCATCTGCCCATCCTTGCTCCCTCGTCGCCGGCATACCCTAGCCACCACAACCACAACGACGATGGGCCTCTTCTCCGGCGCCAGCGGCAGCAAGGCCAAGGGCAAGTCCCCCGCCACCCCTTTCCCCTCTGAGTTTCTCCCACCTCCACCGGCGCCTCGTCGGCAGAGGCAGCGCGTTAGTGTGCCAGTGCACCAGGCAAAGTGGCACTGGCAGAACCGCCAGTCGCTGCCGTATCCCGACATGATGCTGCCGCACGACTAGCATCTGGATCCAGATAGGATCCCAGTGCCGGCGGCGCCGTGGTCGGCTCGTGCTCACTCGGAGGAGGTGCGGCGCAGGCGGGCGCTGCTGACGGTGGAGCAGCGCCGCGACAACGCCTACGCAACCGAGTCGCCCAACTGGGCGAGGTGGTTCGCCTTCGAGCACGAGGAGGAGAGGCACCGGGGCGTGCGCGAGGTCGACCGGAGGCTAACGCCGCTGGTCGCCTGCGAGGAGGACCAGGCGGCGGAGGACGCCTACCAGGCGGCCCTTGCGGCCGTCTACTGTGAGAGTGAAGAGGACGAACGGCGCAGAGCGGAGGCGGCAGAGGCAAAAGAGGAGGCCTGCTACGAGGCGGCAATGGCGCAGGCCCTTGCCCTCTCCGCGGCGGGCGACAGCGTGGTGCCGCCGGTGGCCCCGCCGTCCCCCATCAAGCCGGAGCCGGAGCCGCAGCCAGAGCCCGAGCCCGAGCCCATCGCGCGCTTCTCCTGGAATGGAGTGGTGCGCGAGTGGGTGTCCGCGCCACCAGTCTGGCTGGGGGTGACGCCGGCGCAGGAGCAGGCCTACCTCGAGATGTGGCGCTAGCGCCGGCTGGCAGAGGAGCGCCGGCAAGGCGAGTACAAGGAGATGCTCGATCGCGACCTCGAGGAGGAGGCGCGCCAGGCCGCGGCTGCACAGGCGGCCGCACAGTCCCCCACTCCGGCACTGCCTGCGTCGGCACAGCCCGACATGACAGCGCTCTGGAACACAGCGTTCGCCTGGGCCGGGCCGGCGCCGATGCTCATCGACCTCACGGACCCCGAGGACGATGATGACGATGCCTAGGGCAGCGCGTTGCCTCGTAGTTTAGGCTGTTTTTATTTTTTTAAATGCAAATGTGGACGCGTGGACTCTCGCCGGCCTTCGTGGCCGGCTTTAATATTTAATTAATGTAGTTTCTCTTTTTTTAAATATGCATGCGTTCATTTTTTTTGGCGCCGTCTAAAATGGGTCGCAGGCCAGCGTTGGGCGCAGGTGCCGGCCCAAATGCGGAAGCGGGCATACGTGTCCGTCTGGCCGACCCAAACGGACAAAACGCAGACGAAATCGACGTCCGTTTGGGTCGGCCCGTTGGAGTTGCTCTTATGGAAGTCTTGGACCGTTCCCGTGCTCGATTCTGACTGCCCTGACCCACCAAAACCCCTCCTTCCTTGTTCGCGCGTGTTCCCGCTCGACGCCAGTTGTCCGCATTCATGCCGCTGTAGAGCGTGCCGATCAATATTGAAGACGGCTTAGGGCAGACGCGACTTCTCATCGCCTCCGTCATTGAAGCGACGCGCCGGTCGTCTGCGTTTGTTCAACACCAGAGACGCGTGACTGGTCGGGACGGGGCGGATATGCCCGTCCATCCGTATGCCGCCATTAAGTAGGCTCGTCGACC